GCGTAACTTGCCCGGCGCTGCCTTCCACTTTTCGTGAAACTGTGGTCTCCGTGGGTCATCCATCGCTCGCGGCTGCTCGATTTCCATGTTTCTCTGCGTAGCTGATAGCCTTCAGTTTAAACTGTGCTTCATAGGCTTGTCTCTTTGCCATTTTCAGGGTTGTTATGGCAACAATGTTCTGCATAAAGCACATACCTGTTCTTTTATACACAATCCATGCCCACACTTCCCCCTTAAACGTTCTCATGGTGGTCTCAACAACGTCTGCAGTAACAACACACATAGGGTGCGCCGCACTATAGGGCGCGCCGCACATTTTGAGGAAAAAAAAGACGTTTATATGCGCCTTATAGTCGCGAAAATACGGTATTTCAGAAATATAAGATTTAAAGAGTTTGCCATATTTCCAAATCCATCCTTTACTATGATGTCCAGAGCTTTAGAGTTTAGCTGCACTGTAGCCTTCTTGTTGCTTGCTGAAAGTGTTGCTCTCTCTTATGCTTTTGTAGCCTGAATGAAACAAAAACATGTCCTCACATCTTGTAGAAAATACCACCCTGTAAAATTTATTTATTCATCTCTGCAGGACTACAGCTTCCCAGAATCTTAACAACTTCTTATTTAAACAATCTGTGTTTGCAGGACTTGAACAAACGTTTGTCTCTACCGGCCGATATCCGGATACCCGACGGCTACCTGCAGAAGCTGCAGCTGAGCAGCCCGCCCTTCGATCAGCCGCTGAGCCGACGTTCCCGCAGAGCATCACTGGTGAGGAGAGGTTCTGTATGTGATATTTTTAATGACGTCATGGACAGCAGGTCAAGGGTTAAAATCTGAGTTTGTTTCCCGGTTTTATGATGCTGACATTTTGTGACGTCAGCGTCTCTGGATAACTTCCAGAGTAATTCCCCTCTTTCTCTCCGGCACATAGCGACCTCAACGAAACCTAAGAAACAACAAAGGATGGTGTCGGCATGTTGCTTGGTTTGCTGAGGCCTATTTTTCTGTCTCTACAGTTCGAGTCCAACTAGTTTGGGTTGGATTTAGTGAGCTCGGTTCAAAGGGTGATTCCCTGGAAGCGGAGCTGATATACAGACAGGATGCTGCTCAGGGGTTTCTCCCAGAGGCTTGATTTGAGAACAACATTTCTGCATAACAATGAATCACAGCTGAAGGTGTTTAAATGGGGAGTTTGTGAAGGAGGGAAATGTCCAAACAGGCCATGTTGTCCCACCTTTTAAAAACCCTTCAGAGAAAGTAGCCTAAAACAGTTATTTTTTTATTTATTTGACGCTTCATTCAAAATTTCCTGATTGAACCTTTTTCTTCTTCACTTAATGTTTAAATGAGCTCATATTCAGCTAAATAAAACCCCCCTGCTTTATTAAAAATACTTTTAATTCTCTTATTTAACATGATGATTATACAGAGTATTAAATAGGTATTTATATAAATGAGTAATTATATAGGTAGTTATTGCACTGGGCATAAAATATAAAATAGGTTATTGCACAGGGTATTAAATAGTGATTCCTCGTGTCAATGTTGGAGCACGATGATGGTGAGGTAGAGAAGGGAGCGTTTAACAGAAGATGGGCTGTTGTGTCATGGCCAGCTGTGAGAGGCAGGTTCATTTAACATTAGAGAAAAGCAGAAGTGAGAATTTCCAGGTTGCTGTTTTCAAACGTGCACTTTGTCATTTGCTTCAGTAATTTGCTTGAGATTTTGATTTTAGGCGTGTGATTTTAAACAGGAGAGAGAAAAAAGCAGAAGTGAGACACGTGTAGACCTCCTCGCCACCTGGTTTTCTTTATTAGCGTTACTCCCCGTTTATAAAGCCTCAGTTGTGTGTTGGACACCTGACCTTTCAGCTCTGCAGGGGCTTCATCAAAACTCCCCTCTTGATTGCATCTAATTCATACATTAACCTGATCTCTGAAACCAGTTTCAAAAATGTCACCGTATGCTTTCTTCCTTTATAAGTGGGAACCTTTTTCATTGGTTCATCTTACTGTTTGCAAACTCCCAAAAAAACCCACAAGATAACTTTTTCTTGTCATAACCGATTAGTTCTGATTTGGGTTCAGGCGTTAGATCTCCTCTTTTCGCCCCTCGTTTCATGCTGTAAGGCATTCAGAAGGATTTGTCGCCGTGTCTGTTAATCTTGTCCCCGCTAATAAAGATGCTGCCAACGTTAATGATGTTTGTCCTTTTCTTTCCTCCAGTCAGAAATCGGATTCGGGAAGCTGGAGACGTACATCAAGCTGGACAAACTGGGGGAGGTATGTGAGTCTGTTGACTTTTACATTTTCCTCTCGTCTCCCGGGTGCTAATGGTGTCATAGTTACTAAAGAAGCCAACACGGCCCTCCAGGGGCCCTCTTCATCTGGCTGCACCTTTATTTGCTTCGTTTCCGTTCGTCTCAACAATAGCATCCACCTGTCATCATAGCAAGGCAACCCACATCAGTTTACTGGGCTGCAGCCTGCCAGACGAAGCAAAAGGAAACAAACTAAAGTCATAAACACAATAGGCTCAGCCTTACAGGGACGTATGTAGTGACTCGACTCTGTAGCAAACCACGCACTGACAGTCTTCTGATGTCACATTTTCAGCCCAATCTTGTACTGCTGGGTTCACATCCAAGCAGACGCAGTTTGACACAAAGGGATCATGTTGGTACTAATTCAAT